CTCTCTTCCTGTTTTAGACGTCAGAGAAGGTGGAGACAGTCTTCTTAATGAAGGAGCCGTGTGACCAGGACCAGCCAATGGTGGACCAGCCTCAGGTAGCAGCAGGAAATCTTGTAGGCCCACCTCCTGTTAACCCCCCGCCCCCTCCACCAGGGACCTGCATGACGCATGCTGATGATGTCACATGGGAATGGGCCACTGATGATGACAGTATCAATGCTAATGATGCAAACAAGGTTAATAGTCCAGCAGATAAACATGAAGTCAGTGATGATGATATCAGCGAGGACGAGCCTAGTAGCCAGGCCAGTGAAGATGATGCCAGCGATGCTAGCGAAGATGCTATCAGTGTGTTAGCTCATGTAGCAGTGGAGGAAGCCATGGAGGCTGCAGTCAGACAGGCTCAGAGCCCGGGCGCTGATGATGTTAATCAGGATAGCATTAATGCTAATTTTGCAGTTAGCCAGAGTGAGCAGGAGCTAACTAGCATGGAGGCTAACAAGACTAACAACAGCCCCTGCACCAGACCCTGTTCTGTTCTGGGCTCTCGACCCACTGGGAGTCTGTCTCAGTGTTACCATCACGACGAGTTCTCCGACGCCTCTGACGAGGACGAGGGAGGGTGGCGGTTCGGAGAAAACTCCCCTCCTCCTTCTTTACGCCGCCAGACCTCTGGGCGCTCCCCCTGCTCAGCCAGTCAGAGGCAGCCATCTGACCACAGTGATGATGACGACGACGATGAGTCCAATACACTGCAAGAGGTAACACCTCCGGTTGAACCTGCCCCCGAGATTCCTACCCCAGTGACACCTACCCCAGCGAAACCAACTCCGGTAAAACCTGCTCTCGTGAAAGCCACTCCAATGACTCCCACCCCCAGTTAATCCTGCCCCAGATACTCCCACCCCCAGTGAATCCCACTCCAGTAAAACCTGCCCTCGTGGAAGCCACTCCAATGACTCCTACCCAGTGACACCTGCCCCAGATACTCCCACCCCCAGTGAATCCCACTCCAGTAAAACCTGCCCTTGTGGAAGCCACTCCAATGACTCCTACCCAGTGACACCTGCCCCAGATACTCCCACCCCCAGTGAATCCCACTCCAGTAAAACCTGCCCTCGTGGAAGCCACTCCAATGACTCCTACCCAGTGACACCTGCCCCAGATACTCCCACCCCCAGTGAATCCCACTCCAGTAAAACCTGCCCTTGTGGAAGCCACTCCAATGACTCCTACCCAGTGACACCTGCCCCAGATACTCCCATCCCCAGTGAATCCCACTCCAGTAAAACCTGCCCTCGTGGAAGCCACTCCAATGACTCCTACCCAGTGACACCTGCCCCAGTGAAACCAACTTCGCTATAACGTGTACTCGTAATTCCTACCCCAGTGAATCCTGCCCCAGTGAATCCTGCCCCAGTGAAACCCATCCCAGTTGTCCCAGTCAAACAGCTTGTCTTGAGAATGTGTTGAGGATCCTGATCTTCATATTAAAGAGGTGACATGAAAGCAGTGCAACGGACCTGCAGAGTACCAAAGCTTTAAGAACGGAGAAACAGACTGGATTAAACTTCAGAACGTCAGAACCTAATCTGGAAGTTGATTTTAAAGTTGTTTTGAGTTTATGTGACTGTAAGTTGTCTCTCTGTGTCTGTCAGGAGGTCCCAATGATGAGAAAGACACTCACATATGAAGCTCCAGGGGTGAGGACATCGATACCAAACCAATAACTGACCTCATAATTACTTTGATGAGCACTGAAGGTAACAGAAGGTAATGACAGAAGGTAATGTCTGTGTTTCAGACGCGGGTAGACTCTGATCCTCCTGCAGGTTTGCTGCTGAGCTCCCAGACCTTCACTGCAGAGACCTCCAACACCACCACCACCACACACATCACCAAGGTAACACCATGACGCCATTCAGACGTGTTTGAGTCCATCTCTTCTTAGAAACATGAGAATGTTAGAAGTGTAGAACAAGACGTAGAACCAAGGAAACAATCAGACAGAAGAACCAATAAAGGTGTTTAATCTGACTTTCTCTTTAGACAGTGAAAGGAGGGATTTCAGAAACCAGAATCGAGAAGAGGATCGTGATTTCTGGAGACACAGAAATCGACCATGACCAGGTACCTGTCTGACACGTCACAAAAACACTTCATATTAACTTTGTAAAAGTGACAGCACACAAATGGGATTAACCCAGGACGGAACTGGACAGACCTGGAGCTCGAGGGTTAATCCTGAACAGGACGTGGACCTGTACCTGGACCAGGTTTCTCACCCTTGTATATCTCTTGAAGGCTCTGGCGGCGGCGCTCAGCGAGGCGCGGCGACAGCATCCTGAGCTGTCCGTCACGCGAGTCGTCGTCCATAAAGAAACAGAGGTCTCTCCTGATCATGTGATTGATTAGTGACATCACAGGTAACAGGGAGGGTCAGGCCCCATCCCTCAGGTGGAGTCTCAGGCTGGATGCTGATTGACTGACTGGTGCATGGTAGCATTCATATCATTGTTGGTGCTTTTCATCACGCTAACTTCCTCGCATCCTCTCTCCTCCCGTGATGCGGAAATCGCTTGCCCATCCGACCATCACGGAGGATCTCCCAATACTTAAAATGCACGTCGAGGAGACGAGGAGGCTTCTGGAGGAGCTTAGAGCGAGGAAACACGGGCGTATCCCACGCCAAAGTCTTTTATCAAATGATGTGATGCATAAATGTGATAACAGAACACAGATAGATGAGCGCCGTCTCCTTTTGTGTGACAAACCTAACACTTTATATCTATCGGTCTATCAACCTACCGATGACAGATACTGTAAGGTTCTTATGTGGACAGTGGTACCAATCAATCTGGCAGGTGAACCAGCAGCTCGTCATAAGTAACTGATGGTCCTTAAAGTCTGACGCTGTGGATCCAAGAGCTTGAAGACGCAAGGAGACACGTAGCATAATGAAACGCGTGTTTGCAAGTGTTTGTCTTCAGGAACAGGAAGTTCAGCTAAGAGAGACAAAAGGCCCAACCTCAGTGGCCACACTCAGACTTTAAGGCGTTCCGGCTGAGTCCGTCAGGGTTTAGGCCTGTCCCACTGTCAAAGTGCCCGAGGGCTCTCTGCAGAATCTTTGAGCCCTTTATGCACACTTTCCATAAGTCCGCATTTCTGCAGACTTTGCTTGAGGGAATTACCCACAGTTCATAGTGTTGCGAGATGAAACACCAGGGGAAGCACGGAGGCGAGAGGAAAATCACGGCAAACCCCCTTCTCAAGACCATGGTCAGAACAGAAAGTTTTCACATGAACACACAGCTCACTGAAGGTTCGTGTCATCAGAACTGAGCTTGTCTCATGATGGCACAGTCACCTCTCGTCCACTCTGAAGGACCTGTTAATCAGGTCCCTTTAGGGCCTCACTGGCCGTGAGGAAAGCAAAAAGCCTAACATAAATAGTTAATAGTAAATAGTGAGCAACATGTTTCCTCTGGCAGTTTAGCTCAGAGGTTCTGATTGGTCAGGAGAACACAGTAAGAGAGAGAAACCTTCTGATTGGATCAAATGTTTGGGAGTAACTACAGAGGACAGGGAGGATCTGTGCTGATTGGCTGGTGACAAATTGACACGATTGACCAAAAATGATGTCAGGAGGAAATAAACAGCCTTCCTGATCACTCAGCTGATCGGCGATGAATAATCATCGTTTTAATATGGCCGACAAACAACATGTGTCTTCTAGGTCTGTGTAGGAAAAATAGCTGTTTATATCTATTTATACCCTAGCATTAACTGTTGGCCATTAATGCTATGCTAACATGCTATGTTAACATTATTCACTGTCCTCTCAAGTGTGACATAAACACCTGTGTCCACCAATGCTTTACATTCATCATTATTATTGTTATAATAACAATAATAATAATAAGGAACAACGTTCAGGAATCCAGAAACTTTTGAGAGGACAGTAGTGACATTAACATGCTACGCTATGCTAACACTCTGCACCATGTTTTGAAGCTTGCTGTGCTATGTTATGCTAATTAGGTTGAGCATGCAGTTTTCCTGGCTAGCTCAATATAGCCTCTACCTCAACTAACAGGTAGCTCCCCCTGGTGGTCACATTAATTCTGACCCCAAAAAATAGCAGTATGGAGGGTTTAAATGGCAAAACTGAATTAATAAATACATTAATAATTTTCTTATCTAATTAATAAATAAATTAATAATAAATACATAATTATACAATTTCATGCTTAATAAATATAGATTCATTGTTCAACTATTTAATTAAATTTACTTACAATAATTCAACATGTATTTATTTGCAGTTACACTATAAATAAATAAATATATGAATTAATACATTAATGAATAGACAAATTAATAAAATATACAAATATATTAACAAATGAATAAAAACATAATCAAATTTATATATTTGGCTCCTTTAATTTGTGATTATTTATGGTGACATTTAAGCATTAAATAACATAATTATTTATTCAATTATTTAAGCATTTATTATGTAATTATAAATGTATTAATATAACAACTTCATGATATGATTATTGATGTATTTAAATATTTAGTTTCAGCTCTTATAACCCTTCTTTGCGGTGAGATCTTTAGAACAAAATAAAGTATTTACAGGAATCACTGGACTCGATGATAATTATGAGGAAAAAATCAGAATCAAAAGTTATTTGAAATAGTTGGTTTACTTTTTTGGAGGTTGGCAGCATCACCACCAGAGGGCGGCGTCACCACCAGAGGATGGCGCCTTTTTCTCATGATGACTGTTCTGTCTCTGTTTCAGGACTGAATGTAGAAGACTGTGCTGGATCATGGGAGGTGTAGTCCAGAGCCAACAATGTCACTGTTTCCAGCAACACCCAGTGGACTTTACACACATGCATGTACACCTGTATACACACACACACACACACACACACACACACACACACACACACACACACACACACACACACACAGCAGCACCTGTCTGGGGGTGGGGGGGTGGGGGTGTAGATGAGTTAGCTTAGCATTTAGCATTAGTTCCACAACATAATTCATGTTGGCATTTCAGACTGTTCTGTAAGTAAAGGAATAATTTGTACAACCAAGACATGTGAGAGGCAGACAGGTGAGAAGTAGACAGGTGAGAGGCAGACAGGTGGGATACAGACAGGTGAGAGGCAGACAGGTGAGAAGTAGATAGGTGAGAGGCAGACAGGTGGGATACAGACAGGTGAGAGGCAGACAGGTGAGAAGTAGATAGGTGAGAGGCAGACAGGTGGGATACAGACAGGTGAGAGGCAGACAGGTGAGAAGTAGATAGGTGAGAGGCAGACAGGTGGGATACAGACAGGTGAGAGGCAGACAGGTGAGAAGTAGATAGGTGAGAGGCAGACAGGTGGGATACAGACAGGTGAGAGGCAGACAGGTGAGAAGTAGATAGGTGAGAGGCAGACAGGTGGGATACAGACAGGTGAGAGGCAGACAGGTGAGAAGTAGATAGGTGAGAGGCAGACAGGTGGGATACAGACAGGTGAGAGGCAGACAGGTGAGAAGTAGATAGGTGAGAGGCAGACAGGTGGGATACAGACAGGTGAGAGGCAGACAGGTGGGATACAGACAGGTGAGAGGCAGACAGGTGAGAAGTAGATAGGTGAGAGGCAGACAGGTGAGAGGCAGACATGTGAGAGGCAGACAGGTCAGAAGTAGACAGGTGAGAAGTAGACAGGTGAGAGGCAGACAGGTGAGAGGCAGACAGGTGAGAAGTAGATAGGTGAGAGGCAGACAGGTGAGAGGCAGACAGGTCAGAAGTAGACAGGTCAGAAGTAGACAGGTGAGAAACAGACGGGGTGCTGCTGTGAAGCCATCAACATGTTCCCATAGCTACCAGAGCAGATTAACACCAAAACTTGACCTACTGCTGTATTTACCCCCTACTTCAACAAGCCCCGCCCTCACATGCACCTGACACCCGACAGGTTAAAGCACACGTCTGTTTGGTTGGTTGACTCAGGTGTATTTGCTCCTGATTGTGACGGGAGACAGCAGCTTTATGAAACATTCAGCAAACAGTTTGCATCTGTAATGATAACCTGTGACTTTATCTGTCTCACCTGGTGAGGTCACCTGTGACTTTACCTGTCTCACCTGGTGAGGTCACCTGTGACTTTACCTGTCTCACCTGATGAGGTCACCTGTGACTTTACCTGTCTCACCTGGTGAGGTCTCATCTGATGAGGTCACCTGTGACTTTACCTGTCTCACCTGGTGAGGTCACCTGTGACTTTACCTGTCTCACCTGATGAGGTCACCTGTGACTTTACCTATCTCACCTGGTGAGGTCTCACCTGATGAGGTCACCTGTGACTTTACCTGTCTTACCTGGTGAGGTCTCACCTGAGGAGGTCACCTGTGACTTTACCTGTCTCACCTGGTGAGGTCTCACCTGATGAGGTCACCTGTGACTTTACCTGTCTCACCTGAGGAGGTCACCTGTGACTTTACCCGTCTCACCTGGTGAGGTCTCACCTGGTGAAGTCACCTGTGACTTTACCTGTCTCACCTGGTGTGGTCTCACCTGAGGAGGTCACCTGTGACTTTACCTGTCTCACCTGGTGTGGTCTCACCTGAGAAGGTCACCTGTGACTTTACCTGTCTCACCTGGTGAGGTCTCACCTGGTGAGGTCACCTGTGACTTTACCTGTCTCACCTGATGAGGTCACCTGTGACTTTACCCGTCTCACCTGGTGAGGTCTCACCTGATGAGGTCACCTGTGACTTTACCTGTCTCACCTGGTGTGGTCTCACCTGAGGAGGTCACCTGTGACTTTACCTGTCTCACCTGGTGAGGTCTCACCTGATGAGGTCACCTGTGACTTTACCTGTCTCACCTGATGAGGTCACCTGTGACTTTACCTGTCTCACCTGGTGAGGTCACCTGTGACTTTACCTGTCTCACCTGATGAGGTCACCTGTGACTTTACCTGTCTCACCTGGTGAGGTCTCACCTGATGAGGTCACCTGTGACTTTACCTGTCTCACCTGATGAGGTCACCTGTGACTTTACCTGTCTCACCTGGTGAGGTCTCACCTGGTGAGGTCACCTGTGACTTTACCTGTCTCACCTGATGAGGTCACCTGTGACTTTACCTGTCTCACCTGGTGAGGTCTCATCTGATGAGGTCACCTGTGACTTTACCTGTCTCACCTGGTGAGGTCACCTGTGACTTTACCTGTCTCACCTGATGAGGTCACCTGTGACTTTACCTGTCTCACCTGGTGAGGTCACCTGTGACTTTACCTGTTTCACCTGGTGAGGTCACCTGTGACTTTAGCTGTTTCACCTGGTGGCTTTACCTGTCTCACCTGGTGAGGTCACCTGTGACTTTAGCTGTTTCACCTGGTGGCTTTACCTGTCTCACCTGGTGAGGTCACCTGTGACTTTACCTGTTTCAACTGATGAGGTCACCTGTGACTTTACCTATCTCACCTGGTGGCTTTACCTATGTCACCTGGTGAGGTCACCTGTGACTTTACCTCTCTCTCACCTAGTAAGGTCTCACCTGATGAGGTCACCTGGTGGCTTTACCTGTTTTATCTGGTGTGGTCTCACCTAATGAGGTCACCTGTAACTTTACCTGTCTCACCTGGTGGCTTTACCTGTCTCACCTGGTGAGATCACCTGTGACTTTACCTGTCTCACCTGGTGGCTTTACCTGTTTCACCTGGTGTGAGCTCACCTGGTGAAGTCTCACCTAATGAGGTCACCTGTGACTTTACCTGTCTCACCTGGTGGCTTTACCTGTTTCACCTGGTGTGGGCTCACCTGGTGAAGTCTCACCTAATGAGGTCACCTGTGACTTTACCTGTCTCACCTGGTGGCTTTACCTGTCTCACCTGGTGAGATCACCTGTGACTTTACCTGTCTCACCTGGTGGCTTTACCTGTTTCACCTGGTGTGGGCTCACCTGGTGAAGTCTCACCTAATGAGGTCACCTGTGACTTTACCTGTCCCACCTGGTGAGGATCTTTGGTTCTGACATTCCGGTGCAAACTGTTTCTCCTGTGAAATGTAAAATAGCATGATGCTAACACTGTAACCACTCACTGTATAGAAGCTAATGCTGTGTCTCAGTTCACGCCTTCATACTCACACTGACAGTAAAGTGGAGTGCACTGTAATGGTGAACAAACAAGCAGCAGATGTTTTGGCGGGTGACAATCACGATCAGTTGTTAATGATAATAGTCCGCCCAGTTACAGTTCGCCAATACTGAAGAAGACGAAGAAGAAGCGGTCAAATGTTGCTACGTCACTTCCTGTTAGCTCACAACGGCCGTATTTGATTTGAGATGACGCTACCCTTGAAACTCACGTACCACGCAAATAAGTACACAGTGTGTACTACATGTTAGTGTACTAAGGAAAGGATGTGAACTGAGACACAGCTTAAAACTCAGCTCTGTATTTACCCATAATGCAATAGTAATGTGCCATTCTCTCATCTCGCCATGGAAACCCTTATTATGAATTATTTTACTCACCTGTCTGTGTATTTATTGTTTTTTGTCTATTTATTTATTTATTTGTTTGTCTGTAATCCCAAACAGACTGACCCCTCCCTCTGGTGTCACGTTACAGACTGACCCCTCCCCCAGTGTCACGTTACAGACTGACCCCTCCCCCTGTGTTTGTTACTGATTGACCATTCCCCCTGGTGTCACGTTACAGACTGACCCCTCCCCCTGTGTTTGTTACTGATTGACCATTCCCCCTGGTGTCACATTACAGACTGACCTTTCCCCCAGTGTCACATTACAGACTGACCCCTCCCCCAGTGTCACGTTACAGACTGACCCCTCCCCCAGTGTCACGTTACAGACTGACCCCTCCCCCTGTGTTTGTTACTGATTGACCATTCCCCCTGGTGTCACGTTACAGACTGACGCCTCCCCCTGTGAATGCTACAGATTGACCACTCCCCCTGGTGTCACATTACAGACTGACCTTTCCCCCAGTGTCACATTACAGACTGACCCCTCCCCCAGTGTCACATTACAGACTGACCCCTCCCCCAGTGTCACGTTACAGACTGACCCCTCCCCAGTGTCACGTTACAGACTGACCCCTCCCCCTGTGTTTGTTACAGATTGACCACTCCCCCTGGTGTCACGTTACAGACTGACGCCTCCCCCTGTGAATGCTACAGACTGACCCCTCCCCCTGTGTTTGTTACAGATTGACCACTCCCCCTGGTGTCACATTACAGACTGACCTTTCCCCCAGTGTCACATTACAGACTGACCCCTCCCCCAGTGTCACGTTACAGACTGACCCCTCCCCAGTGTCACGTTACAGACTGACCCCTCCCCCTGTGTTTGTTACAGATTGACCACTCCCCCTGGTGTCACGTTACAGACTGACGCCTCCCCCTGTGAATGCTACAGACTGACCCCTCCCCCTGTGTTTGTTACAGATTGACCACTCCCCCTGGTGTCACATTACAGACTGACGCCTCCCCCTGTGAATGCTACAGATTGACCACTCCCCCTGGTGTCACATTACAGACTGACGCCTCCCCCTGTGAATGCTACAGATTGACCACTCCCCCTGGTGTCACGTTACAGACTGACCTTTCCCCCAGTGTCACGTTACAGACTGACCTTTCCCCCAGTGTCACGTTACAGACTGACCCCTCCCCCTGTGTTTGTTACAGATTCACCACTCCCCCAGTGAATGTTACAGACTAACCCCTCCCCCTGTGAATGCTACAGATTGACCACTCCCCCTGGTGTCACATTACAGACTGACCTTTCCCCCCGTGTCACGTTACAGACTGACCTTTCCCCCCGTGTCACGTTACAGACTGACCTCTCCCCCCGTGTCACGTTACAGACTGACCTCTCCCCCGTGTCACGTTACAGACTGACCTTTCCCCCAGTGTCACATTACAGACTGACCTTTCCCCCAGTGTCACGTTACAGACTGACCTCTCCCCCCGTGTCACGTTACAGACTGACCTTTCCCCCATGTCACATTAAAGACTGACCTCTCCCCCCGTGTCACGTTACAGACTGACCTCTCCCCCCGTGTCACGTTACAGACTGACCCCTCCCCCCGTGTCACGTTACAGACTGACCTTTCCCCCAGTGTCACGTTACAGACTGACCTTTCCCCCAGTGTCACGTTACAGACTGACCCCTCCCCCCGTGTCACGTTACAGACTGACCTTTCCCCCAGTGTCACGTTACAGACTGACCCCTCCCCCCGTGTCACGTTACAGACTGACCTCTCCCCCCGTGTCACGTTACAGACTGACCTCTCCCCCGTGTCACGTTACAGACTGACCTTTCCCCCAGTGTCACGTTACAGACTGACCCCTCCCCCCGTGTCACGTTACAGACTGACCTTTCCCAGTGTCACGTTACAGACTGACCCCTCCCCCCGTGTCACGTTACAGACTGACCTTTCCCCCAGTGTCACGTTACAGACTGACCTTTCCCAGTGTCACGTTACAGACTGACCCCTCCCCCCGTGTCACGTTACAGACTGACCTTTCCCCCAGTGTCACGTTACAGACTGACCTTTCCCCAGTGTCACGTTACAGACTGACCTTTCCCCCAGTGTCACGTTACAGACTGACCTTTCCCAGTGTCACGTTACAGACTGACCCCTCCCCCCGTGTCACGTTACAGACTGACCTCTCCCCAGTGTCACGTTACAGACTGACCTTTCCCCCAGTGTCACGTTACAGACTGACCTTTCCCAGTGTCACGTTACAGACTGACCCCTCCCCCCGTGTCACGTTACAGACTGACCTTTCCCCCAGTGTCACGTTACAGACTGACCCCTCCCCCCGTGTCACGTTACAGACTGACCTTTCCCCCAGTGTCACGTTACAGACTGACCCCTCCCCCCGTGTCACGTTACAGACTGACCTTTCCCCCGTGTCACGTTACAGACTGACCTTTCCCAGTGTCACGTTACAGACTGACCTCTCCCCCGTGTCACGTTACAGACTGACCTTTCCCCCGTGTCACGTTACAGACTGACCCCTCCCCCCGTGTCACGTTACAGACTGACCTTTCCCCCGTGTCACGTTACAGACTGACCTTTCCCAGTGTCACGTTACAGACTGACCTCTCCCCAGTGTCACGTTACAGACTGACCTTTCCCCCAGTGTCACGTTACAGACTGACCTCTCCCCAGTGTCACGTTACAGACTGACCTTTCCCCCGTGTCACGTTACAGACTGACCTTTCCCAGTGTCACGTTACAGACTGACCCCTCCCCCCGTGTCACGTTACAGACTGACCTTTCCCAGTGTCACGTTACAGACTGACCTCTCCCCAGTGTCACGTTACAGACTGACCTTTCCCCCGTGTCACGTTACAGACTGACCTTTCCCAGTGTCACGTTACAGACTGACCTTTCCCAGTGTCACGTTACAGACTGACCTTTCCCCCGTGTCACGTTACAGACTGACCTTTCCCCCAGTGTCACGTTACAGACTGACCTTTCCCCCGTGTCACGTTACAGACTATATTATTTGTTTGAGGAATTGAACATGTCTTTTACCCACTAAATAAAATGAATGAAGGACCTGACTTCTTTTCTCTGTGGTGATTCAGAGTCCGTCTGTGGACGTGTTTTATATTTAGTCAGTATGTGACGCGCTCACACACAGGATGCTACCGGCTGTAGTACAAAGTTCACAGGTTCCTTTCTTTGTGTTTGTTTTTTTTTTACTTCATCTCAACATCATGATCAGCTGAACCACAGACAGAACCGATGTTCAATATTTTCATCCTTAAGAACGCACACACCAGACGGTTCAGTCCAGACCCAGCATTACCCAACCACAGAGTCGAGGCCTGGACTATGAAGCAGGTACCTGGCTCATCCAGGAGAAACTTTGTGATGGCAGGGGTAACGTCCAGATTAACCCGTTGTTACATTCAGCCAGCCTGTTGAACACAGAGATTTACCAATAAAGACCGATAAACCAAGCAAGGTTCTCCACAACAGAGAGGATAACAGGAACACACCTCCACACAGCACGAGGAAACTCTGGTAAGACAGGTGGAACACCGGAGATACGTCCATTAATGGTGGTGGAAGCAAACAATGAGCGAGCTCCGAACAGCAGGTGTCCACCATCGGAGAAGCAACAACAAGGACAAGACAGGAAGTAAAAGTATCACAATAAAGAACACTACAAAGCAAAAAAGACAGACAGACAGACAGACAGACAGGTAGACGAGCTGCTGATGTGTAAAAGGATCAGGCGACTGAGTGAACGAGTTTTCAAGTCATCTTTAATGATTCATGTTTCAGGCGAACAACAGGAAATAAAAAGAAACAGCTTTCACATTGAACTGTTGGTCTGTGGACCAATCAGAGACAGCCTGGGCATTGCTAGGCAACAGGACATGAGTTAGGAGTGACGCCCAACAGGAAGTGGGCGGAGCTCAGGTCCAGCGCGTCACTCAGGTGAGACTTGACAAGCTGCAGGTTCTTCAAACAGCCTGAGAACCTGGAGCTGGTGGACAGGCAGTTCTGCTTCACACCGACTGTAACAGAGAGGGAGACAGGTTGAGCGGGAGGCGGACAGGTGGAGACAGGTAGAGAGGGAGACAGGTAGAGAGGGAGACAGACAGGTGGAGACAGGTATAGAGGAAGACAGGTTGAGAGGGAGACAGGTAGCAACGGAGACAGACAGGTGGAGACAGGTTGAGAGGGTGACAGGTTGAGAGGGAGGTGGACAGGTGGAGACAGGTAGAGAGGAAGACAGGTAGCAACGGAGACAGACAGGTGGAGAGAGGGAGACAGACAGGTGGAGACAGGTAGAGAGGGTGACCGGTTGAGAGGGAGGTGGACAGGTGGAGACAGGTATAGAGGGAGACAGGTAGCGACGGAGACAGACAGGTGGAGAGAGGGAGACAGACAGGTGGAGACAGGTATAGAGGAAGACAGGTTGAGAGGGAGACAGGTAGCGACGGAGACAGACAGGTGGAGAGAGGGAGACAGACAGGTGGAGACAGGTATAGAGGAAGACAGGTAGCAACGGAGACAGACAGGTGGAGAGAGGGAGACAGACAGGTGGAGACAGGTATAGAGGGAGACAGGTTGAGAGGGAGACAGACAGGTGGAGACAGGTAGAGTGGAAGACAGGTAGCGACGGAGACAGACAGGTGGAGACAGGTAGAGAGGGTGACAGGTTGAGAGGGAGACAGACAGGTGGAGACAGGTATAGAGGAAGACAGGTAGCAACGGAGACAGACAGGTGGAGACAGGTAGAGAGGGAGACAGGTTGAGAGGGAGACAGACAGGTGGAGACAGGTATAGAGGAAGACAGGTAGCAATGGAGACAGACAGGTGGAGACAGGTAGAGAGGGAGACAGGTTGAGAAGGAGACAGACAGGTGGAGACAGGTATAGAGGAAGACTGGTAGCAACGGAGACAGACAGGTGGAGAGAGGGAGACAGACAGGTGGAGACAGGTAGAGAGGGTGACAGGTTGAGAGGGAGACAGACAGGTGGAGACAGGTATAGAGGAAGACAGGTATAGAGGGAGACAGGTTGAGAGGGAGACAGACAGGTGGAGACAGGTAGAGAGGGTGACAGGTTGAGAGGGAGACAGACAGGTGGAGACAGGTATAGAGGAAGACAGGTAGCAACGGAGACAGACAGGTGGAGACAGGTAGAGAGTGAGACAGGTTGAGAGGGAGGTGGACAGGTGGAGACAGGTATAGAGGAAGACAGGTTGAGAGGGAGACAGACAGGTGGAGACAGGTATAGAGGGTGACAGGTTGAGAGGGAGACAGACAGGTGGAGACAGGTATAGAGGAAGACAGGTAGCAACGGAGACAGACAGGTGGAGAGAGGGAGACAGACAGGTGGAGACAGGTAGAGAGGAAGACAGGTAGCGACGGAGACAGACAGGTGGAGACAGGTAGAGAGGAAGACAGGTAGCAACGGAGACAGACAGGTGGAGAGAGGGAGACAGACAGGTGGAGACAGGTAGAGAGGGAGACAGGTTGAGAGGGAGACAGACAGGTGGAGACAGGTAGAGAGGGTGACAGGTTGAGAGGGAGGTGGACAGGTGGAGACAGGTATAGAGGAAGACAGGTTGAGAGGGAGACAGGTAGCGACGGAGACAGACAGGTGGAGAGAGGGAGACAGACAGGTGGAGACAGGTATAGAGGAAGACAGGTAGCAACGGAGACAGACAGGTGGAGAGAGGGAGACAGACAGGTGGAGACAGGTAGAGAGGGAGACAGGTTGAGAGGGAGACAGACAGGTGGAGACAGGTAGAGAGGAAGACAGGTAGCGACGGAGACGGACAGGTGGAGACAGGTAGAGAGGGTGACAGGTTGAGAGGGAGACAGACAGGTGGAGACAGGTATAGAGGAAGACAGGTAGCAACGGAGACAGACAGGTGGAGACAGGTAGAGAGGGAGACAGGTTGAGAGGGAGACAGACAGGTGGAGACAGGTAGAGAGGGTGACAGGTTGAGAGGGAGGTGGACAGGTGGAGACAGGTATAGAGGAAGACAGGTTGAGAGGGAGACAGACAGGTGGAGACAGGTATAGAGGAAGACAGGTAGCAACGGAGACAGACAGGTGGAGACAGGTAGAGAGGAAGACAGGTTGAGAGGGAGACAGACAGGTGGAGACAGGTATAGAGGAAGACAGGTAGTAACGGAGACAGACAGGTGGAGACAGGTAGAGAGGGTGACAGGTGGAGACAGGTAGAGAGGGTGACAGGTGGAGAGGGAGACAGACAGGTGGAGACAGGTATAGAGGAAGACAGGTTGAGAGGGAGACAGGTAGCAACGGAGACAGACAGGTGAAGACAGGTATAGAGGAAGACAGGTATCGACGGAGACAGAGAGGTGGAGAGAGGGAGACAGACAGGTGGAGACAGGTAGAGAGGAAGACAGGTAGCGACGGAGACAGACAGGTGGAGACAGGTTGAGAGGGAGACAGGTAGCGACGGAGACAGACAGGTGGAGACAGGTAGAGAGGGTGACAGGTAGCGACGGAGACAGAAAGGTGGAGAGAGGGAGACAGACAGGTGGAGACAGATATAGAGGAAGACAGGTAGCAACGGAGACAGACAGGTGGAGAGAGGGAGACAGACAGGTAGAGAGGGAGACAGACAGGTGGAGACAGGTATAGAGGAAGACAGGTAGCAACGGAGACAGACAGGTGGAGACAGGTAGAGAGGGAGACAGGTAGAGAGGGAGACAGGTTGAGAGGGAGACAGACAGGTGGAGACAGGTATAGAGGAAGACAGGTAGTAACGGAGACAGACAGGTGGAGACAGGTAGAGAGGGTGACAGGTGGAGAGGGAGACAGACAGGTGGAGACAGGTATAGAGGAAGACAGGTTGAGAGGGAGACAGGTAGCAACGGAGACAGACAGGTGGAGACAGGTATAGAGGAAGACAGGTATCGACGGAGACAGAGAGGTGGAGAGAGGGAGACAGACAGGTGGAGACAGGTAGAGAGGAAGACAGGTAGCGACGGAGACAGACAGGTGGAGACAGGTAGAGAGGGAGACAGGTTGAGAGGGAGGTGGACAGGTGGAGACAGGTATAGAGGAAGACAGGTTGAGAGGGAGACAGGTAGCGACGGAGACAGACAGGTGGAGACAGGTAGAGAGGGTGACAGGTTGAGAGGGAGGTGGACAGGTGGAGACAGGTATAGAGGAAGACAGGTAGCAACGGAGACAGACAGGTGGAGAGAGGGAGACAGACAGGTGGAGACAGGTAGAGAGAGTGACAGGTTGAGAGGGAGGTGGACAGGTGGAGACAGGTATAGAGGAAAACAGGTAGCAACGGAGACAGACAGGTGGAGACAGGTAGAGAGGGTGACAGGTGGAGAGGGAGGTGGACAGGTGGAGACAGGTATAGAGGAAGACAGGTTGAGAGGGAGACAGGTATTGACGGAGACAGACAGGTGGAGAGAGGGAGACAGACAGGTTGAGACAGGTAGAGAGGGTGACAGGTGGAGAGGGAGGTGGACAGGTGGAGACAGGTATAGAGGAAGACAGGTTGAGAGGGAGACAGACAGGTGGAGAGAGGGAGACAGACAGGTGGAGACAGGTATAGAGGAAGACAGGTTGAGAGGGTGACAGGTTGAGAGGGAGGTGGACAGGTAGCGACGGAGACAGACAGATGGAGAGAGGGAGACAGACAGGTTGAGACAGGTATAGAGGAAGACAGGTTGAGAGGGAGACAGGTAGAGAGGGAGACAGGTAGCAACGGAGACAGACAGGTGGAGACAGGTATAGAGGAAGACAGGTAGCGATGGAGACAGACAGGTGGAGAGAGGGAGACAGACAGGTGGAGACTGGTATAGAGGAAGACAGGTAGTGAAAGAGACAGACAGGTGGAGACAGGTAGAGACAGGTGGAGACGGAGACAGACAGGCGATGGTGCTTGTACATTCAGAGCCCACCTGGATAGCCTCCCAGGTAAACAGGGTTGTTTGTCTCCGCAGAGGTGGATTGTGGGTGGGGGTTCTGGGTGGTGTAACTCCGCCCGTCTACACTCAGACTCAGGGTGTGTTTGGTCTTTCTGGCCAGCAAGTGGTGCCAGCGTCCATCACATAAGATCTGACCGATCGAACGCACCGACACTCGCCCCGCGCCGTTATTCACGTTAAACACCACCTGAGCGACAACACAGGTATGCTGTTATACTGATAATCAGTATATACTTATACATGTACACACAGTACCTCACAAACTGAGTACCCCCCACATTTCTGTAAATATCTGATTCTATCTTTTCATGTTTCAACACTGAAGAAATGAGTCTTTGCTCCAGTGTAAAGTAGTGAGCGTGCAGCTTGTATAACAGTGTAAATTTGCTGTCCCCTCAAAATAGCACATCACACAGCCATTAATGTCTAAACCGCTGGATACTAAAGTGAGGACACCCCTAAGAGAAAATGTCAATATTCTGTGGGGCCACCATTATTCTCCAGTGCTGCCTTAACCCTCATGGGCCTGGAGTTCAGCAGAGCTTCACAGGTTTCCTCTGGAGTTCTCTTCCACTCCTCCATGACGACATCACGGAGCTGGTGGATGTTAGAGACCTTGAGGTCCTCCACCTTCCGTTTGAGGAGCCCCACAGATGCTCAGTAGGGTTCAGGTCTGGAGACATGTTGGCCAGTCCGTCACCTTTACCCTCAGCTTCTTCAGCGAGGCAGTGGTCGTCTTGGAGGTGTGTTTGGGGTCGTTATCATGTTGGATTTTGGATTTTCACTGAGGGGTGTCCTCACTTTAGTATCCAGCGGTTTAGACATTAATGGCTGTGTTATTTTGAGGGGACAGCAGATTTACACTGTTATACAAGCTGCACGCTCACTGCTTTACACTTTTATACAAGCTGTACGCTCACTACTTTACACTTTTATACAAGCTGCACGCTCACTACTTTACACTGTCATACAAGCTGCACGCTCACTGCTTTACACTTTTATACAAGCTGCACGCTCACTACTTTACACTGTCATACAAGCTGCACGCTCACTACTTTACACTTTTATACAAGCTGCACGCTCACTACTTTACACTGTCATACAAGCTGCACGCTCACTACTTTACACTGTTATACAAGCTGCACGCTCACTACTTTACACTTTTATACAAGCTGTACGCTCACTACTTTACACTTTTATACAAGCTGTACGCTCACTACTTTACACTTTTATACAAGCTGCACGCTCACTACTTTACACTGTTATACAAGCTGCACGCTCACTACTTTACACTTTTATACAAGCTGCACGCCCACTACTTTACACTGTTATACAAGCTGCACGCTCACTACTTTACACTGTTATACAAGCTGCACGCCCACTACTTTACACTTTTATACAAGCTGCACGCTCACTACTTTACACTGTTATACAAGCTGCACGCTCACTACTTTACACTGTTATACAAGCTGCACGCCCACTACTTTACACTTTTATACAAGCTGCACGCCCACTACTTTACACTGTTATACAAGCTGCACGCTCACTACTTTACACTTTTATACAAGCTGCACGCCCACTACTTTACACTGTTATACAAGCTGCACGCCCACTACTTTACACTTTTATACAAGCTGCACGCTCACTACTTTACACTGTTATACAAGCTGCACGCTCACTACTTTACACTGTTATACAAGCTGCACGCCCACTACTTTACACTTTTATACAAGCTGCACGCTCACTACTTTACACTGTTATACAAGCTGTACGCTCACTACTTTACACTGTTATACAAGCTGTACGCTCACTACTTTACACTGGAGCAAAGGGTCATTTCTTTGGTGTTGAGACATGAAAAGATAGAATCAGATATTTACAATCATGACAGGGGCGGACTCACTTTGTGAGATACTGTATATACATATTTATACACACAGAATATACTGTAAATCACACACTCAGGTAACTGTCTGCTCACCTGTCCGTTGATCAGCTCTAGTCCGATAGCGTCAACCTTCGCGCTGCTGATTCCCAGAAGCACTCCCTCTGATTGGCTTGTTCGTAAGTCCAGAGACACTGACACGTCAGAGCCGACCTTATAACCGTCTCGCACTGAACACACACACACACACACACACACACACACAGAGTTTAAACCTGAGCAGGTGGGTTCAGGTACATGCAGGAGATCCTTTCTGTATGTTGGACTCACTGAGGGCGGCGTATCCACTGCCGTTGAAGTAACTTCCGGTCTGGTCTTTGGTGAAACAGGAAGTGACCTCATGCTGCGAGGCCGGCTTGGACAGATCCAGCGTGGCTCCGTTCAGACTGACCAAGCGAATGCAACCTGGGAAACTACTGCTTACCTGAGAGAGGGAGGGGAGAGCAAGTGGTTCAGGTGCAGCTCAGGTGAGACTGGTACAGGTGTCACACAACATCAGAGAATCTAAAGTGGCCTACGTTAATCCTCCTAGTGGTGTGTGTGTGCGGCACTCCTCCCAGGTACAGCCTGTTGTCCACGTCCAGCTGGGTCCCTTTAACCGGCACAGAGTCCGGATTTGAACCGTCGACTGACATCGACATCGACCGCCGGCTGACCTCAGCGCTCACCTGAGAGAGAGAGAGAGAGAGGTCAAACCAGGTGTCAGCAACAGCGGGAAAAAAGGTGAACCTCACTGCTTGATGATGTCACAGCCTGACTCATGATGTCACAGCCTGATGTCACAGTTAATCCCTGTTCACTTCTATTTGCCGGCCTGGTGTTTAATGTGTGTCTGTTTATGAAGCATCATTACTCACAGCGTGCCACTCTCCGTCGTTAACTGCAACAGACGAGGCGATGGAGGCGGGGCCTTTCCCCAGGTCAGCTGACATCATCAGTCTCCCCCCCGTCAGTCTGAGGACGATGAAGTCCATCTGTTTGGAGTCCGAGAGGAGGAGGATGAGCCCGTCCAGAGCTCGGCTTCGAACAGACAACCTGAGAGACACACTGAAGACGAGGAGAGACACAACACAGTCAGACGACTGGCCGAGCCCAGACCCGCCCCTTGTTACAATAGCCCCGCCCCACTCTGACCACGGCCCTGTTGTCATGGAGACCTACCTCTTTCTGACTGTGGCGGGGTTGATGATGAAGATCATGTGACTGTGTTTGGACAAACCAAACTGAGCCGCTGACTGCAGGAAGGTTGGCTCCGCCTCCGACACGCACTGCATCACACACACATCAATAACCAGTAATTAGTGACCAATAGTCAATAACACCAATAATACAAATATTCACACATGTAACCATAGTAACAACAATCAATTATCAAAAATCAATAATAAACATTGAATACCGTCAGCGCTCCAGGTGTGAAGGCGCTCAGGTGTGTGGGCGGGGCTAAAGGCAGGTGGTCGGGGTCAGGAGTTGGTTCTAAACCCTGATCATCAGGAAGCACCACCCCCCCAACTCTCTCCTCCAATAGGCAACTGTCGAGCTCCACACCTGTGTACCTCACGGCTCCTGATAGGTCAATGAGCCTGGTGGCAGCCACCAATCAAGAGAGTCAATCAACCAGAAAGACTGAAAATTGTGTGAGTGTGTGTGTGTGTGTGTGTCTGTGTGTGCCAGTGTGTGACTTACGCCCTGCCCACCACCAGGTGTTGGATGCAACCTCTGAACCACCTGGACACATCCTGTAATCTGATTGGTAGACGAGTCTCCTCCCCTGATGGCAGCCCACCAATGAAGAAAGAGGCTGGAGACAGACGGGAAAATCCTCCAGAAAACAGAGAGACGGACTTCATGTGTTCCTCATCCACCTGCAGGGACAGAGACCTGAGAGACAGACAGGTGACACTTTAATCAATACTGATGAGGCAGGTGAGGCAGGTGAGGCAGGTGTCTCTCTCCACCTACTTCCTGTTGATAGTGATGATCACAGAGTGTCTTGTTCCGTCACTGAAGGATCCATCAGGTTTCACCACCATCACCCTCCGACTGGGGCCACCCACCTCACCGAGCTCCGCCTCCAACGCTCCTGAGACCAGGTGCACTGACAGGAAGTGCTGCACACAAATAATCAAGGTGTGTCACATGATGTGTCACGTGATAAAACCTGGTGTACAGGTGTGTCATGACATGACGTCTGTCCGTCTGTCTCACATGTCTCTGTGTTCGGTCGTTACTGAAGGCAGCCAGCAGGACTCCTGATTGGTTGTTGGAGTAGAAGGAGAAGAGAAGCTCCGCCTCCTGACCGAGCGAGCGAGGAGCGATCTGAACGAAGCCTCCGGGCAACACCGACACACTGCGCACCGCCTGGGACAGAGGATAGTACTGGAAGGTCAGCATGTGAAAACGCTGGAGCAATAATAATAAATCATGCCATTATTTATTAGATACTGTACCTCGAGGACGCAGCCCTTCCTCACTCCGTACGCGTCTCTCAGCAGGTCAAAGTTGGACCGAGCGATCTCCACGTTCTTTATACAGCCCACGTACGACCTGGAGACCACCTGTCGCCTACCAACCAGACAGACAGGTAGAAACAGTCAGACAGACCGGTGGAAAAAGACAGACAGACGGGTAGAAACAGACAGACAGGTGGAAACAGACAGACAGGTGGAAACAGACAGACGGGTGGAAACAGACAGACGGGTGGAAACAGACAGACAGACGGGTGGAAACAGACAGACAGGTGGAACGGGTGGAAACAGACAGACAGGTGGAAACAGACAGACAGACGGGTGGAAACAGACAGACAGGTGGAAACAGACAGACAGACGGGTGGAAACAGACAGACAGGTGGAAACAGACAGACAGATGGGTGGAAACAGACAGACGGGTGGAAACAGACAGACGGGTGGAAACAGACAGACAGACGGGTGGAAACAGACAGACGGGTGGAAACAGACAGACAGACGGGTGGAAACAGACAGACGGATGGAAACAGTCAGACAGACAGGTGTGGACATCACCTGCTGACATCACAGACTCACCTGATTGGTCTGGAGGAAGGATATCCTCCGATGTAGATGGGGTCGAGGTCGGAGCGGTTCATGTCAGAGGCCGTCCCAGGAGACTCCGCCTCCAACACCTCCTTCTCTGATGATTGGTCGGCTGCCATGATGGACAGGTAACCTGGACACACAGCAGCAGCGTCAGGAACAAGAACAGTAGTATTATTAATATATGTTAGTAATATTAATACTACCAAACTCTGCAGTAACAGTAGTCGTTAGTAGCTTTAAGCCTCGAATATACTTCGACACGTACAGCTGCACAGACACCACGGACGTGGACTACTTCAGCTTGGCGGACTCGTATCACACATGCGCAGTACATCAGTTGGTGTCCTGGTAGCGTAGTCGGTCATAAAAAACGGGAGGCACGCGGACGTCCGCACAGAGCCTACGCGCAACCCTCTGATGATGATTTTTTGTCTCTCGAACCCTAACTATACTCTGCAGTAACAGCAGGTAACACCATCTGGTAGAAAACTGACATCGGTGAGTTTAGCCCCGTCTCCTGACACCTGACAGCAGGTGTACAACACTGAACTACAGTAGAATAGATTATAGTAGAGTACAGTAGAACTACAATATGACTACTGAAGACTACGGTAGGATTACAGCAGGATTACAGCAGAACTAGGGAGACTCGGTGTGTCCACACACAACGCGTGAAGGCGATTTTAACGCGATAAAGTGAATAAACACAACTGGCCGTTACTCCAGCTGTGTGAACCCAAAGTGAACATGTTGCTGTGATTAAAGAGCAACAAACGGATCAAACTGATGCTGAAATAACGACAACATGATGCAGATTTGTTAAACATGTGAACTGATGCTTTGTCAGGTCTGTCAGCAGGACAGCAGCTTCTAAAATGTTTGTTTTCTGAATGGAGTTCGGATCGATCAGGGCTATGCTACGCTAACTTGGTCACAGTAAAGTACAACGACAGCTGGCATAACGTTTCTGAGCTCACCAGGTAGTTCAACCTGCTCGCTCTCTTTTCTCCCAGTAACGTCCAGCTTTGTCCGGTTTTTATATAAATATGAAGTCGTAGTCCGACAGAGCTAACGACGCTAACAACACTAGAACCGGATGTGCACGGAAGCTGCTGAGAAGCTCCAGTGAAGATAAATCAACGTTTTAATCCCAAAAACTAAAGTAAAAAGCTAATTTAATAAAAGCAGTTTACTCTGAGCTCCTCCCGCGAGCAAACGGCGTAGCTGTCAGAGCAGAATCCAGTCCGACTACGGGTTTTTATTTGTCCAAAGGTTGCAGCGCTGCTCCTGCTCCTCTCCCCCAAGTTTAGCAGCTCTCAGCTCTCCCTCTCCACACATCGCTCTGAAGCCGTCGGTGACGTACGGACAATCTCAACACTGATAGGCTTTCGCGACTCAGCGACATGCTCACGCGAATTCCTTCGCATCGCCGGCCCTGCCCCCTTCGTGTCACTTCTCTACGCGTCTTTGCATTGACTTTTTTTGTTAACTCACGATTGTTTACCAGTAAGACATATTGATCACTGACGGGAACGATTGTTTACTGATAGGAACGACTGATCACTGTGAGCCTGCAGCAGGTCACCTTTGCGTTTGTTCCTCTGCAGCGTGATCTTGTACCAGACTCCTGTGTTGTACTTCTTGGTGGAGGTCAGCATCAGAGCTCCTGAGCCGAGGTCATAGGTCAGACGGACACGCCCCTCCACCAGCTCCATGGACAAGAAGTCCCTCTGCAAGAGACAGGAAGTGAGGTCATGTCTGTATCTGCTTCACAATAAGAGCCTCAACAAAACCAGTGATGTGTGTCATACCGTGTTGTTGGAGGCCAGGTACAGCAGCAATCCGCCCGGAGACAGCGTTTTAAACAGTAGGACGATGGAGGTGGAGGTTGCTCGCAGAGACTTCTGAACCAATGAGAATCCAGATCCATCAAAGTGGAAGGACGTCTCCTCCGCCTGGGGACTAAGAGTCAGACAGGTAGAGACAGACAGGTGGAGACAGACGAGTTAGACCTTTAGATTTGTCAGGTCTGAAAAATACCATTCAGAAGTTCCATTGGAAATCAGCAGATTTAACTTCCAGGCCCCTCCCACTGGAAGTGGGGGCCAGTTGGTGTGCTCACAGATTCTACACCTGTGGTCCTCCAGGTGTTCTGTTAGTCATACACCTGTGTTCGTACCTGCTGAAGCAGCCTCCACACTCTCCCTCTCGGCTGTCGTAGTTCCACAGACCGACGTTTCTCTCGTTGAGCGATGCTTCACCCAGACAGCCCTGGAAGGTGGAGGTCCTCAGCGCTGTGGGGCTCTGACATCACACACACAGTTATCACCTGTACTCTTCCACACACACCTGGACCCCTGATGTGTGTGTGTGTGTGTGTTACCTGAGTGTGAGCTCCCAGTCCTCCGATGTGGATCACCGTGTTTCTGTCGATGTCTAAAACCCGTGACGGTCCCGGTGATGTCGCTGTTACCGTGGGCAGCGGAGCCGACTCGGACTCCAGCTGATGGACCGACAGAGCGCCGTGGGCCCCAAACCTGCCAATGCCATGACATCATCACATGACATCGTCACATAGCCTACCAAACGTTTCGGTGTGATGCGTACATGTGAAATAGAGGGACAGCTGGCCAAGAAGGAGGCGTATTTCAGCTTTTGTGAAATGACGACCTGAAAATCTTGTTAGTTTTTAGAAGAAGTAGTTTAGATGCCGATCAGGAGCTTTCCACCACATTACATGGTCTTCCTCAGCTGGTCCAGGACTCCTGGTCCATACTGGCTCAAAGGTTCGTTGTGATCAGGATGAAGTGAAACCGTGTACAGTCACATGACGCCTGCACGCCTTCATCTGCTGAGGAAGCTCATGTGAAGTGGTCGAAAGCCGTTGATGTTCAGGTGTGTTTACCGTGTAGCGTTGATTCTGGTCCATCTGTTGTTGGTGATGTCCAGTCCGGGAAAGTCCAGTCTGGTGCTGCCCGAACCCACGTCCCACAGCAGGGAAACCTTCCCATCATGCATCTCTACTGCCAGGAAGTCCACCTGAACACAGCAGACAGAAACAAAGGCTCGAGCTGTACTCGAAACTGCCTGCTGTACTAGCAGTGTGTACTGATGTAGGCTAAATGTAGTAGTACGCAAACAAAAGCACAATCTGCAGTGTGCATCGGACCAGTCTACCTCGCCAGCTGTGTCCCACCATGCTTTCTAATGCCGCATTCAGACCAAACGCAAATTTAATTAAACATTTGAACTGATGCTTTGTCAGGTCTGTCAGCAGGACAGCAGCTTCTAAAATGTTTGTTTTCTGAATGGAGTTCGGATCGATCAGGGCTATGCTACGCTAACTTGGTCACAGTAAAGTACAACGACAGCTGGCATAACGTTTCTGAGCTCACCAGGTAGTTCAACCTGCTCGCTCTCTTTTCTCCCAGTAACGTCCAGCTTTGTCCGGTTTTTATATAAATATGAAGTCGTAGTCCGACAGAGCTAACGACGCTAACAACACTAGAACCGGATGTGCACGGAAGCTGCTGAGAAGCTCCAGTGAAGATAAATCAACGTTTTAATCCCAAAAACTAAAGTAAAAAGCTAATTTAATAAAAGCAGTTTACTCTGAGCTCCTCCCGCGAGCAAACGGCGTAGCTGTCAGAGCAGAATCCAGTCCGACTACGGGTTTTTATTTGTCCAAAGGTTGCAGCGCTGCTCCTGCTCCTCTCCCCCAAGTTTAGCAGCTCTCAGCTCTCCCTCTCCACACATCGCTCTGAAGCCGTCGGTGACGTACGGACAATCTCAACACTGATAGGCTTTCGCGACTCAGCGACATGCTCACGCGAATTCCTTCGCATCGCCGGCCCTGCCCCCTTCGTGTCGCTTCTGTAAACTCACCGCCCCGAACGCTCGCTTCACTTTTGGTCTGAAAGCACCATAAAACCGGAAACCAGTAAAGCCCGGCCTAGAGTACTGCAAAATAAATATATTTAACAGTTTCATACTGCAGACTACTACGCAGTACGCAGTGTGTGTGTAGTACCGTGTGTAGTACCGTGTGCAGTACTGTGTGTAGTACCGTGTGTAGTACTGTGTGTAGTACTGTGTGCAGTACCGTGTGCAGTACCTTGTGTAGTACTGTGTGCATTACTGTGTGTAGTACTGTGTGTAGTACTGTGTGCAGTACTGTGTGTAGTACCGTGTGCAGTACTGTGTGTAGTACCGTGTGTAGTACTGTGTGTAGTACTGTGTGCAGTACTGTGTGCAGTACCGTGTGTAGTACCGTGTGCAGTACCGTGTGCAGTACCGTGTGCAGTACCGTGTGCAATACTGTGTGCAGTACCGTGTGCAGTACGGTGTGTAGTACTGTGTGCAGTACGGTGTGTAGTACTGTGTGCAGTACTGTGTGTAGTACCGTGGTGTTGCTGCCCAGGTAGAAGAGCAGGTTATCTGGACTGGACGTCTTCAGGATCAGACTCAGAGTGTTGAAGTTACTGGACTCAGTGGGTGGTCTGTAGGACCGAACACAGTCTCTGTCCGCCTGGACCGCCACCTTGATCTGATGACATCATCAACATCATCATTATCATCATCATCATGTGACTGTGACGTCTCTCGGTGGACAAACAGAGAGACAGGTTATTCTTATTTCACGTGAAGTATTTACAGAGATTCATGGATTTTCTGGCTGTTTAGAGTCGACGATAATAAAAACAAAGGATGTCCAGGAAGGTTCCCGGAGAACAGCAGCTAGCATAACGGCGCCCTGCGAGTCCTGACAGGTGAAGAGGGGGCAGGCGTCCCCTGTTTGGCGAGTAAGAACTGTTACCATCAGGCAGACGGTTCAGGGCGCCATCCCTCCAAGCCAACTAGTATCGTATGACTTAACAAACAATGAGATAAAAAAGCTGAACCTTAGTCTACCCCAGTGTGTACTCCCCAGTGTGTACTCCCCAGTGTGTACTCCCCAGTGTATACTCCCCAGTGTGTACTCCCCAGTGTGTACTCCCCAGTGTATACACCCCAGTGTATACTCCCCAGTTTGTACTCCCCAGTGTGTACTCCCCAGTGTGTACTCCCCAGTGTATACTCCCCAGTTTGTACTCCCCAGTGTGTACTCCCCAGTGTATACTCCCCAGTGTATACTCCCCAGTGTGTACTCCCCAGTGTGTACTCCCCAGTGTATACTCCCCAGTGTGTACTCCCCAGTGTGTACTCCCCAGTGTATACTCCCCAGTTTGTACTCCCCAGTGTGTACTCCCCAGTGTGTACTCCCCAGTGTATACTCCCCAGTGTGTACTCTCAAGTGTGTACTCCCCAGTGTGTACTTCTGTAAGTGTACTTGTGTGTGTGTGCTCCCCAGTGTGTGCTCCCCAGTGTGTACTCCCCAGTGTGTATACCCCAGTTTGTACTCCTCAGTGTGTATACCCCAGTTTGTACTCCTGAGTGTGTACTCCTGAGTGTGTACTCCTGAGTGTGTACTCCTGAGTGTGTACTCCTCAGTGTGTACTCCTCAGTGTGTACTTCTGTATGTGTACTTCCCAGTGTGTACTTCTGTATGTGTACTCCCCAGTGTGTACTCCCCAGTATGTACTTCTGTATGTGTACTCCCCAGTGTGTACTCTCAAGTGTGTATTCCCCAGTGTATACTCCCCAGTGTGTACTCCCCAGTGTGTACTCCCCAGTGTATACTCCCCAGTTTGTACTCCCCAGTGTGTACTCCCCAGTGTGTACTCCCCAGTGTATACTCCCCAGTGTGTACTCTCAAGTGTGTACTCCCCAGTGTGTACTTCTGTAAGTGTACTTGTGTGTGTGTGCTCCCCAGTGTGTGCTCCCCAGTGTGTACTCCCCAGTGTGTATACCCCAGTTTGTACTCCTCAGTGTGTATACCCCAGTTTGTACTCCTGAGTGTGTACTCCTGAGTGTGTACTCCTGAGTGTGTACTCCTGAGTGTGTACTCCTCAGTGTGTACTCCTCAGTGTGTACTTCTGTATGTGTACTTCCCAGTGTGTACTTCTGTATGTGTACTCCCCAGTGTGTACTCCCCAGTATGTACTTCTGTATGTGTACTCCCCAGTGTGTACTCTCAAGTGTGTATTCCCCAGTGTGCACTCCCCATTGTGTACTTCTGTAAGTGTACTTGTGTGTGTGTACTCCCCAGTGTGTACTTGTGTGTGTGTGTACCTCCCAGTGTGTACTTCTGTAAGTGTACTTGGGTGTGTGTACTCCCCAGTGTGTACTTGTGTGTGTGTGTACTTCCCAGTGTGTACATCTGTAAGTGTGTTCTGTAAGTATACTTGTGTGTGTACTTCTGTAAGTGCTTGTGTGTGTACTTCTGTATGTGTATTCCTGTTTGTGTACTCCCCAGTGTACTCTCCAGTGTGTACTTCTGTATGTGTACTCCTGTATGTGTACTCCCCATTGTGTACTTCTATACGTGTACTTTCTCAGTGTGTACTTCTGTATGTGTACTCCCCAGTGTGTACTCCTCAGTGTGTACTCCTTAGTGTGTATACCCCAGTTTGTACTCCCCAGTATGTACTTCTGTATGTGTACTCCCCACTGTGTACTCTCAAGTGTGTATTCCTCAGTGTGTACTTCCAAGTGTGTACTTCTGTATGTGTACTCCCCAGTGTGTACTCCCCAGTATGTACTTCTGTATGTGTACTCCCCAGTGTGTACTCTCAAGTGTGTATTCCCCAGTGTGTACTTCTGTAAGTGTACTTGTGTGTGTGTACTCCCCAGTGTGTACTCCCCAGTGTGTACTCCCCAGTGTGTACTCCCCAGTGTGTACTCCTCAGTGTGTACTTCTGTATGTGTACTTCCCAGTGTGTACTTCTGTATGTGTACTCCCCAGTGTGTACTCCCCAGTATGTACTTCTGTATGTGTACTCCCCAGTGTGTACTCTCAAGTGTGTATTCCCCAGTGTGCACTCCCCATTGTGTACTTCTGTAAGTGTACTTGTGTGTATGTACTCCCCAGTGTGTACTTGTGTGTGTGTACCTCCCAGTGTGTACTTCTGTAAGTGTACTTGTGTGTACTTCTGTAAGTGTACTTGGGTGTGTGTACTCCCCAGTGTGTACTTGTGTGTGTGTGTGTACTTCCCAGTGTGTACATCTGTAAGTGTACTTGTGTGTACTTCTGTAAGTGTACTTGGGTGTGTGTACTCCCCAGTGTGTACTTCTGTAAGTATACTTGTGTGTGTACTTCTGTAAGTGCTTGTGTGTGTACTTCTGTATGTGTATTCCTGTTTGTGTACTCCCCAGTGTACTCTCCAGTGTGTACTTCTGTATGTGTACTCCTGTATGTGTACTCCCCAGTGTGTACTCCCCAGTGTGTACTCCTTAGTGTGTATACCCCAGTTTGTACTCCCCAGTATGTACTTCTGTATGTGTACTCCCCACTGTGTACTCTCAAGTGTGTATTCTCAAGTGTGTATTCCTCAGTGTGTACTTCCAAGTGTGTACTTCTGTATGTGTACTCCCCATTGTGTACTTCTATACGTGTACTTCCTCAGTGTGTACTTCTGTATGTGTACTCCCCATTGTGTACTTCTATACGTGTACTTCCTCAGTGTGTACTTCTGTATGTGTACTTCCAAGTGTGTACTTCTGTATGTGTACTCCCCAGTATGTACTTCTGTATTTGTACTCCCCAGTGTGTACTCTCAAGTGTGTATTCCCCAGTGTGCACTCCCCAGTGTGTACTTCTGTAAGTGTACTTGTGTGTGTGTACTCCCCAGTGTGTACTTCTGTAAGTGTACTTGTGTGTGTGTGTACTTCCCAGTGTGTACTTCTGTAAGTGTACTTGTGTGTACTTCTGTAAGTGTACTTGGGTGTGTACTTCTGTAAGTGTACTTGGGTGTGTGTACTCCCCAGTGTGTACTTCTGTAAGTATACTTGTGTGTGTACTTCTGTAAGTGTACTTGTGTGAGTGCACTTCTCTATGTGTACTTCTGTGTGTGTTTACTTCTCCATGTGTACTCCCCAGTGTGTGTACTTCTGTATGTGTACTTGTGTGTGTACTTCTTTATGTGTACTTGTGTGTGTGTACTTGTGTGTGTACTCCCCAGTGTGTGTACTTCCCTAAGTGTACTCCCCAGTGTGTACTTCTCTATGTGTACTCCCCAGTGTGTACTTCTCTTAGTGTACTCCCCAGTGTGTACTCCCAAGTGTGTACTCACTAGTGTACTCCCCAGTGTGTGTACTCCCCAGTGTATACTTCTCTAAGTGTACTCCCCAGTGTACTTCTCTATGTGTACTCCCCAGTGTGTACTCCCCAGTGTGTACTTCTCTAAGTGTACTCCCCAGCGTGTACTCCCCAGTGTACTTCTCTATGGGTACTCCCCAGTGTGTACTTCTCTAAGTGTACTCCCCAGTGTGTACTTCTCTAAGTGTACTCCCCAGTGTGTACTTCTCTAAGTGTACTCCCCAGTGTGTGTACTCCCCAGTGTGTACTTCTCTAAGTGTACTCCCCAGTGTGTACTTCTCTAAGTGTACTCCCCAGTGTGTGTACTCCCCAGTGTGTACTTGTGAGTGTGTCTATGTACCGAGGCGGCCTGCCTCCTGGCCTGATCGATCAGCTCTTTGATGTCAGACAGATTCCGGCTCAGTGTTTCTCCCAGCATGCTCAGTGGCTTTATCCGGTCCATCAGGCGCTCTGTACGACGCTCCGCCTCCTCCAGCTTATGCTGCATCTCATTGGCTGAGCACACAAGAAACAGGAAGTGAACACGTCTGTCGTCTTTATACGGTCGATCTTAATGAGCGTTGGTGACTGACCTGCGGCTTGAGTGCGAGTCACCAGCTGGTTGGTCTCCCTCACTGTGTTGTTGGTGTTTTCCACCACAGAAGAAGAATCCCGCAGCTGCTGTCTGAGTCTGTGCAGCCGCTGCAGCGCCTCCTGCAGGCCGGAGCTCGCCGCTGCCGCCTGAAGCTGCACCTGCTGCAGCGCCACGGACGAACCTGACGGACAGGATCGTATGGATCGGTACAGACAGATCGACAGGGTAAATTACTGATACGTGAGGGGGCGGAGCCTGAAACACCATCTCACCGTTAGAGAGACTCTGCAGCTCTGTGATTGGCTGACGGAGGAGGAGGCTGGAGTTCCGGACACTCTCTCTGACCAATCCCAGTCTACTGTATATCCTCGAGACATCCAGCTGCAGGACTGGAAGACAGACAGAGAGACCGCGGACACGGCGAGGTGAAGTCATTGGACACCATGAGGAGACACGTGTTCATGTGAGGAAGGTCGTAGCCTCCTCAGCGCTCCAACATGGACGCCGGACACTAACCTTGAGCCGTCTCGTTGATTCGTCGACTTTCTTCTAGAAGAGCACAGCTGACATTCAGCTTGGCCCCGCCCTCCTCTGACAGCGGCTGCTCTGATTGGACGCTCTGAAACACAGAAGGCTGGCTCAACTGGGTGTCAATGTGTGATGTCATTGAGCAAAAATGCTGCATTGGCCAATCAGATCCGTGCAGGCACACGTCAACATGTCAGGTGACGGCAGTGTCTCTCCAGTTTACCTGCGTAACACAGGTGTGTCTTCACACGCTTACCATGTTGAGAGCGAGGGAGGCGGAGACGCGGGCGATCGAGGCCGCCTGCTGGGCAGAGTCAACACGTTCTGTGATGTCACTGTCCAGCTGACCCAATCGGCTACCGTTCTGAGAAACGTTACACACTGACGACAGAGACCTGAGAGAGAAGACGGCGAGGTTAATTTTTATCACGCGCACACACGCACATGCGCACGCACACACTTGCACGGTTACCTGTGCAGGGAGTGGGCGTGGCTCTGCAGCAGCTGGGCGTGGCTTTCTGCACGGTAAACGTTCTCCGGAGCGTCCGTCTTTCTCAGTCCAACAACCAAAGTGTCCACCTGCTTCGCCAGCAGGGGGCGCCACTGATCCACCTGCCCGCTGAACACCTCCACCTGCTGCACACACAGGTGTGTTAGTACAGAGTCACGAGTCATACGGTCGGCGTCGGCGTCAGCAGAGGCTCTCACCGCGGTGGTGTTGGTCAATTCCTCCGTCAGGCTGACAGTGTCGTCCAGCAGCATCTGGCTGTCCTCCATCACGCCGTCCACAGAGAGACACACCTGAGTCAGGTTCTGATGGAGAGACTGACGCAGGGAGGAGACGCCGTTACATCATTACATCAGAGACGACCTCGACGGGTGCAGTGTGACATCATCACAGCAGGTTAAATACCTTTATTTATGTGTGTGTGTGTTCACCTGGTAGTGGAGCAGTAGAGTGTGTGTGGCGTCCAGCAGAGTGTGTGTGTCTGTGTTTCGTTCTGCTGCCTCGCTCAGGTGTGTGCGCGTGTGTTGCAGTGTTTCCATGCCAGCGGTGAGAGCAGCAGAAAGGGGGCGGAGCCTGTTGTCCACCGCCACCTTTCTGGACAGGAAGTCCACCTGCAGCGAGGTGAGGAGAGGCTGTGCGAGGCTGCAGGGAGAGAGAGAGAGAGAGGGCGGGCGGTCAAACTAAACGTAGAAAAGTCAAACTGCTTTTATTTCTCAAACACACAAACACACCTGAGCTCCTGATTGGCTGAGATGCTGGCAGCCGTCAGGTTGACAGCTCTGATGGTTTCCAACATGGACTCCACCTCCTTCAGCAGACGCATTTGATTGGCTGAATCCAGCTCCTCTTCTGTGGTCTGGTTCAGATGCCCCGCCTCCCTCTGAAGCACTGGGCCAATCAGATGTCAGAGTTCTTATTTGTTAAGGTGATGATGTCACTTGTGATGCGTTAACGGTCACACTGTTTATTTCCTGTTATTGTTTACCCTGGATGTTGTCCTGAAGGCTGCTGATGTTCTCCAGCAGCAGTGCACCCTGGGAAAGGGTGTCATTGGTGGACACACCCACTTTGTCCAGGACATTAGACAGACGTGTGACCTAGCCAATCAGGAGTCAGGAAAATATGAAACACCCACAATCCTCTGCAGTTATAACAGATTTATTACATCATAATGAGCCCTGAACACAGTGAATCGTGGGTACCTGCTGTAGCAGAGCGCTGAGGTCAGAGGTCACGTGACTCAGCTCGTCTTCCACTCTGGACAGACGCAGAGCGAGCGAGCGGTTTCCCGACTCCACCTGTACAAACACAGCAGTCTTTGTGAGACCTCCACGCCACCAGAGGGCAGCGCCGCGCACACAGACGGGATAAAAGAAGGGGAGGGGCTAAAACACCTTAACCTCCCCCGGCTGCAGAAAGAAGTCTTTCCCTCAGTAAACATTTTCCTGATGAGTTTCTGGTCTCAGTCGCTAGTTTCAAGTCACAGCATGATGTTCATTTAGTAAATTATGGTCCCATTTAGAGGAACAGAGACCAGGAAGCAGGGGAGGCTTTAGGGCGGGGCTACAAGCTGGCTGACAGGTCTCTACCACGGCAACCTGTCAATCATAGCAATACGTATCTCCCCGCAGCTCTGCTCTTGCGTCCAAATTATGGCCAAAATGCCAAACTGGAGACTTCAAAGCCACAAAGCAACGGGTGACATCACATGGCCACACCCACTTCCTTCATACAGTCTGCGGCTGCCGGTCACCAGGTGTGCTTACCTGGATGTCTCTGGTCTGGTTCTCCAGTGACACCAGCTGGCTGTAGGGCGCCAAGGCCACGCCGCTCAGGTTGACAGACAGGAAGTGCTTGTGTATGATGTCCAGGTCGTCCAGCAGGAGGCCGGTGCACTCGTCATCACACGCTGCACACAAACACAAAGACGTCACCACTGACAACACGCAACAAGTATGTGTGTGTGTGTGTGTGTGTCGGCGTTACTCACACACACACTCTCCTCCCTGCAGGACGTGGCGCTCGTCACACCGGTCACAGGACTGACCTTTGACCCCGGCCTTGCACTCACACTGTCCGCTCTGCGTGTCACACAGCGGCTGCAGAGAGCCCCACCCGCTGCAGCTGCACGGCGAGCACACGCCGCCCGGCACCGACGGCTCACCGTAGTAACCAACAGAACACCTGCAGGACGACAGCTCACAGTCAGCGTGGCGATCGACCATCAGGTGATGTCACCGTCCGTGCTGATCCCTCAGGCGTAGAGACCAGTGTGATGTAATGACTCACCTCTCGCAGTACCTCCCCTCGTAGCCCGTCTGACAGGCGGTGCAGCGGAAATCACCAAGCGCTCCGTCTGACACGCAGGTGGGGCTGAAACTGCACACACTCAAAGTTAAAGTCCGAAATGCCAGAGAAACAGTTAGGTGTGACCACTTCCTGTAGTTTCTAATCTTTAACCTGACTCAAGTCCCTCACCAGGAATGACAGAATTTTCCAGGACAGCGTGCAGTGTTACCTGTTGTGCCGTAGGGGGCAGGCACACAGCGAGCAGTCAATGATGGAGCCGCTGACGTTCCCATAATACCCCGGGGCACACAGCTCACAGCTCCGCCCACTGGTGTGATGCTGACAGCCCTGAAAAAAAAGTGTCCCATCTCTCTGTTAGCATGTGTTAGCATGTGTTGGTAGGTGTTAGCATGTTACCTGACAGTGTCCCGTCTCTCTGTTAGCACGTGTTAGTATGTGTTGGCAGGTGTTAGCATGTTACCTGACAGTGTCCCGTCTCTCTGTTAGCATGTGTTAGCATGTGTTGGTAGGTGTTAGCATGTTACCTGACAGTGTCCCGTCTCTCTGTTAGCATGTGTTAGCAAGTGTTGGTAGGTGTTAGCATGTTACCTGACAGTGTCCCGTCTCTCTGTTAGCATGTGTTAGCAAGTGTTGGTAGGTGTTAGCATGTTACCTGACAGTGTCCCGTCTCTCTGTTAGCATGTGTTAGCATGTGTTGGTAGGTGTTAGCATGTTACCTGACAGTGTCCCGTCTCTCTGTTAGCATGTGTTAGCAAGTGTTGGTAGGTGTTAGCATGTTACCTGACAGTGTCCCGTCTCTCTGTTAGCATGTGTTAGCAAGTGTTGGTAGGTGTTAGCATGTTACCTGACAGTGTCCTGTCTCTCTGTTAGCATGTGTTAGCATGTATTAGCAAGTGTTGGTAGGTGTTAGCATGTTACCTGACAGTGTCCTGTCTCTCTGTTAGCATGTGTTAGCATGTATTAGCAAGTGTTGGTAGGTGTTAGCATGTTACCTGACAGTGTCCCGTCTCTCTGTTAGCATGTGTTAGCATGTATTAGCAAGTGTTGGTAGGTGTTAGCATGTTACCTGACAGTGTCCTGTCTCTCTGTTAGCATGTGTTAGCATGTATTAGCAAGTGTTGGCAGGTGTTAGCATGTTACCTGACAGTGTCCTGTCTCTCTGTTAGCATGTATTAGCAAGTGTTGGCAGGTGTTAGCATGTTACCTGACAGTGTCCTGTCTCTCTGTTAGCATGTGTTAGCATGTATTAGCAAGTGTTGGTAGGTGTTAGCATGTTACCTGACAGTGTCCTGTCTCTCTGTTAGCATGTGTTAGCAAGTGTTGGTAGGTGTTAGCATGTTACCTGACAGTGTCCCGTCTCTCTGTTAGCATCTGTTAGCATGTGTTAGCAAGTGTTGGCAGGTGTTAGCATGTTACCTGACAGTGTCCCGTCTCTCTGTTAGCATGTGTTAGCATGTGTTAGCAAGTGTTGGCAGGTGTTAGCATGTTACCTGACAGTGTCCCGTCTCCGGCTCGCAGATCTCACTGTGGTTGTTGCAGCGACATTGAACACACGGACGAACAAACTTCTGACTCTGAGACGACAACTCAGACAGAGGCTGACGGAAAAAACCTGCAGCACACTCCTGCAGACAGATGGGTCAGAGAGAGAGAGAGACGGGTCAGAGAAAGAGAGACAGGGACTGTGCCCTGGTGGTGGGAACCTAATGTTTTGGAGTTGTTTTTCAGTGGACCAGGGGACCTAATCACAGTAAACGGCACCATGAAAAAGGAGCAAAACTCTCAACAACAACAACATCAGGCAGTCTGCAGAGAAACTTGGCCTTTGGGACCAGTGGACATTTCAGCACGACAACGACCCAAAACACACAGCAGAGTCCTGACTTAAATCCCATTGAGCATCTGTGGAGGGAGCTAAAGATCAGGGTGATGGCAAGGAGACCCTCCAACCTGAGAGAGCTGGAGCTCATCGCTAAAGATGAATGGGCAAAAATACCAGTTAAGACAATTATAGCAAGCGTTTGATTGCTGTAATAGCCAGTAAAGGCCAATAAAGGCTTTTCGATTGATTATTGAGACGGTATGAGTCATTTTGGACATGCCACTTTTTGTTCAAATGTAAACAAAAGATGAGTTATAATTTTTTCCACAATGATGCCTCTTGTACATCGTCTTATTATCTTCTGGGAGATGCCTGTGTCATTTCTAATCAAGAAACAACTTGCTGGTTGAATAAAAGTAACTTTAAGTCAAGAGTTTGCCAGGGGTATGAATCATTTCGGGCTTGACTGTAGCTGCAGAGACCTCTTAGAGACACAATCGTTCATAGTTTAGCACGTTGGATATCATTTTAAACGAATAGTAATATTCTTAACAGTATTTCACACATGATACACTCTAAAATGTCACTCAAAGTTTAATATTTTATTCATTTACCTACAACACAATTTTCCTTTTCGTTTGTTACTAGTATAATTTTTTATACTATTTATACATCAATCTAGTTTACTATTATTAGGGCCCGAGCACAACCGTGCGAGGTCCCTATTGAATTTGCTCGGATTATATATATATATATATATAAATATATATATTTAGGGCCCGAGCACGACCGTGCGAGGTCCCTATTGAATTTGCTCGGATTATATATATATATATAAATATATATATATTTTTTATTTTTTTCTGCAAAGTAGGCCCAAATGACATGGCCTAAACATACTCGAAAACTCACCAAAATTTGCAAACATGTCAGAACCGGTGAAAAATTTCGTATTCTACAAGTTTCGCACATGGGCGTGGCAAAATGACTCGCTAGCGCCACCTAGAAAATTGGAAAAGATTAGCCCCTCGTTCACGTTCAACCTACATGTACGAAATTTTCTGGGGACATGTATCGTATCAAGACGCACAAAAAAGCCTCAAGAACCCATAGCCTAAAGTCAACAGGAAGTCGGCCATTTTGAATTTTACGGCCATTTTTGGATGATTTACACACTTCGTACTTTAACGAACTCCTCCTAGGGATTTAGTCGGATCAACGTCAAATTTCTGCTGTGCCTTCTAAAGGCATTGAAGATGAAAAGTTGTGCTATTTGCGAGTTTTCGTCAATGGGCGTGTCCGTGGCGTCAATGATTCGCTATGAAACAGGAAGTTGTTGTCTTCAGTGTACATGCTCACATCTGGACCAAACTGTACATCTAGGATGAGAGTCCCGCCCTGAACACATGTACATGCCGACATTCACCCACAGTCATAGCGCCACCTGCTGGCAACAGAAGTGACCTTTAACGAAGCAGCCCCCGCCGCACGTTTCACTTACGTGCACGAATTTTCTGTGGTACGTGTATCTTGTCCAGATGCACAAAAAAGTCTCTTGGAGCCATAGCCTAAACCCAACAGGAAGTCGGCCATTTTGAATTTTACGTCAAATTTTGGATGATTTACACACTTCGTACTTTAACGAACTCCTCCTAGGGATTTAGTCCGACCGACCTCAAATTTCTGCTGTGCCTTCTAAAGGCATTGAAGATGAAAAGTTGTGCTATTTGCGAGTTTTCGTCAATGGGTGTGTCCGTGCCGTGGCGTCAGAGATCAAGTCTTCGCCATGACACAGGAAGTTGTTGTAACTTCAGTGTACATGCTCACATCTGAACCAAACTTTACGTGCTTGATAACTCAAGGGGTCATCTTCTCTGCTATTGGTGGACCAGTCAGACAGGAGAGCTCCTACTCTGCCTGCAGACATCAACGATCTTGCCCCTCACACAGTCAGATGGCTTCCTTCAGTGCACTGAGGTGTTTAACAACTCTGAAGACAATACTACCAGCAATGTATTCCTTCTCTTTTCACGTAGACGCTCCGACAGACAGTGCTTTCAGTTTGCTGCATGCATGGACACAGAACTGCGGTATAGGGAGAAGCACACGGTCAGCTGGCTGCAGCTAAATCTGGAGTGCACTCGTATTCAATTCTGTATGGTAAATTCAGTTTTAACGGAGCAGAGCGAGCTGACAGGCAGAGTTAGAGACTTTTTCTGTCCGTTTCTCTCTTTACAAAGACGCATGTTGCAGTCAGAGTCTTCTCTAAGATGCGAGCACGACATACAACACAATTTATCAAATTACACAACGGATATACAGTATGAAAATAAGATTGATTGGATTATACTCACAGGAAGTATAAAACCTGTTACATGCGTCTATTAAAAGTAAAGTAACACAAAAATGTCCGGGAAATTACTTTACTTAGATTTAAGTACTGCAGTTGTACATTTGAAATACCTTCCTACCTTTCTGATAGGAAGCCTTCTTGAGGTGGTATAAAACATTTCTTCTTATATTCTGATTTGAGTTGTGGACAACTATGACCACATGAATAAAAAAATTAAACATTTCACTGCCCAAGTCAGTTATAACACAAGTCTTGTTCATCAGACTACATGCTGTACAGTATTTGTGGACAGATTTTGTCCCAGGATTTATTATGCATTTCTTCTTCTTCGTTGCATGATTTAGAATAATAAGGTGAGAAATGGGTCTATTCTGAGTTCATCCTGCACTGCAGCAGCTAATTAAGTCCATTTAATCCCAAAAACGCTTTTCTTTTAGGCAGGCTGGAGCAGAAAACAACTCACCTTTCTCAAGTTGTACAGTAATGTCACATGTGTATGAAGGTGGATCAAACAAGCTAATCTTAAATGTCAAAGTAGAGAGGAGCCTAGTAGGCCTATTTATTTTCATTCATTACACAATATGAATAAGCTATGCAGACAGTTGTAAAGAAAGAACATCTTTTTCTTCTGTTCTCTACTTGTTATAGTTACACAGTATTAGGGGTGTGGGCTGTATTAAAAGTATCCACTGTTCTCCCATGCTCTAACACACAGTAACGATGAAATGTGTGCTGTTCTCACATTCTTCCTCTGTATGTACACATAAACAACAAGGCAGGGAAATATAAAAGGAATTTATTTTATTGTTTGGGTACATTATTGTTCAGTGTACATGTTCACATCTGAAACAAACTTTACGTGCTTGATAACTCTCCCACCCCGCAGACATCTACACACCAATACCGATTTATATTCATAGCGGCAAGTGCTATGTAGCTCCACATAGGGGACACAGGAAGTGACATATAGCACATTCATGCGGCGTCGGAACCGCGTAGGAAATTCACAGCCGCACCGGCAGAGCTCCAGAATATGCAACTCGGCCGGCTCACACGCGGACACGCTTACAAGTGCAAGGGCCCGCCCAACGCTGCTTGCAGCTTTAATTATTATTTGTTTTTTAAGGTGTTTGTCTAATTTTTGAACAGATTACACTTGGAGATGAAATCGTTCACAATAACATGTTGGAACATTCGAGGTCTGAGATCATCAGCTTTAGGTTTAAAGAGCAGAAATCCAGATTTTAATAGCGAGTTAAAAGACTCTGACATCATAGTTTTACAGGAGACATGGTGCAGAGAAGATTTTTCCACTGGTCGTCCTCACGGCTACACTGACATTATTATACCATCAACAAAAAATCCCACAATAACCCAAGGCAGAGATTCAGGAGGCCTGATTATATGGTGTAAATCAGAACTGAGCCAGTCCATCACAGTTATTAAAGAAGAAGAAGCTAATATATGGTTGAAAATGAACAAACAGATGATTTGTGCTGAGCAACATGTCTACATGTGTGCCACCTATATACCTCCATCAGAATCCCCCTACTACAACCCAGATACTTTCTCTATTCTTGAGGAGGAAGTTAACCATTATGAAATCATGGGAAATGTGTTAATCTGTGGGGACTTGAACGCTCGAACAGGGGAAAGAGCTGCAACTATGAACACCCAGGGAGACAAACACTTACCTGGAAGCACCTGCTTCCCCCTCCCTGAATGTCCTGCTAGAAAGAGCTTTGACAAGCTGACTAACACAAGCGGTATGCAGCTTCTCCAGCTCTGCCGTACGCTTGGTCTGTACAGGGTCAACGGCGGGCTACGAGGGGACTGTCTGGGTCTGTACAGGGTCAACGGCGGGCTACGAGGGGACTGTCTGGGTCTGTACAGAGTCAACGGCGGGCTACGAGGGGACTCTCTGGGTCTGTACAGAGTCAACGGCGGGCTACGAGGGGACTGTCTGGGTCTGTACAGAGTCAACGGCGGGCTACGAGGGGACTGTCTGGGTCTGTACAGGGTCAACGGCGGGCTACGAGGGGACCCTCTGGGTCCGTACAGAGTTGACGGCGGGCTACGAGGGGACCCTCTGGGTCCGTACAGAGTTGACGGCGGGCTACGAGGGGACCCTCTGGGTCCGTACAGAGTTGACGGCAGGCTACGAGGGGACCCCCTGGGTCCGTACATGGTCAACGGCGGGCTAAGAGGGGACCCCCTGGGTCTGTACAGGGTCAACGGCGGGCTACGAGGGGACTCTCTGGGTCTGTACAGAGTCAACGGCGGGCTACGAGGGGACTGTCTGGGTCTGTACAGGGTCAACGGCGGGCTACGAGGGGACCCTCTGGGTCCGTACAGAGTTGACGGCGGGCTACGAGGGGACCCTCTGGGTCCGTACAGAGTGACGGCGGGCTACGAGGGGACCCTCTGGGTCCGTACAGAGTTGACGGCAG